AGTCTTTCTTAACGCGCTTCTTAAGCTCTTACTATGTAGAGTAGAGTATCTTAACAACGCTAGAGTAATTAAGTAACCTCTTAGAGACTTATTACACTCTTTAGCTTGTTATTACTTCTTCTAGATTTGTATTTCTAGGTCTTCTTCTACTAATTCTTTAGCTAGTATATATTGCTCTAGTGTTAAGGTCTATTTGTCTAAAGTTATATTAAATAGACGTAATTAGCTCTATAGTAGCAGATCTTTAACCTCTATTGTAAGCTCTTTATAAGGGATATTATACACCTTAATATTAATTATATTAACTACTAGAGACTTCCTATATTTGCTACTATTATTCTTGTATAGCTTGTCGCGCATAAACAAGACGTCTTAAGTTTAGATAACCTTATTCTTTAAGAGTATCTAGATTCTAAAGATATTTAAGAAGTTCTATTCTAGTAGGTACCTAATATAAGTACGTACTTCTAGTTTGTTAGCTTTCTTAAGGTTCTTTCTATAAACATACGCTCGACAGCTAATAGAGGCGTAATAAGCTACTAATAGTTTATAACCTATTACTACCTTATATAGAGTTTTCTAGCTGTTTAATTTAACTAGCGTAGTGTTAAGAATTTAAATAGCTGTAATAAATAGCTCTAAAGCTAGCTTCTTAGGTAATCTAGCTGTAATTCTTATTACTTAGCTTTTTATAATTATCGCGTCTCTAGCTTTCTCTATACAACTATTCTACTTAGGCGTCTTAGGTAAGCTAGGCTTATATTTAATATCTAATTTAATGTAGATCTTAGTAAGCTTATTACTAAAACTCTTCTTATTGTTAGTTCTAAGTATAACGACTAAGTACTTAAATTAACGCTATAGTTTAGCGATTATTCTACGTATAGCAGGCATTAATACTACTCTACTTTTTGCGGGTAACGTATATTCTTTATACTAGCCTAAGAATTTATTAATTGCGTAAAGTCTCTACTTATTCTTGTTAAAACAGGTTTCTTCTATTAGTAGTAGTTAAACTAAATTTATCCCTATTTAGTAGAAGAAACGCTTTGCAGGCGTTAATCTAGGTCTCTAGAAGACTTAATAATTTATTTTTAACTATATATAGGTGTTACAGTTCTTCTAGTTAACTAGAGGTGTATTCTTCTTAAGCTTAAAGCTAGTAACGGCCTCTTCTAGGTGCGTAATAGCTTTCTTGTTTAGGTGTACCTATAGTTAATAGGCCTTAGCTCTAGTAGTAATTATTACTAGTTGTAGGTTCTTTAATAGTTAATATACTATTATAAATATAGCGAATATTTCCTATAGATTAGGGCGGCTATTTTTATCTACGTTAAGTAGCTAGTGCCTCTATTTATACTCTAAGTTGTAGACTATATTACTAGGCTTATTCTTATATAGAATGTCTCTACTAGAGTTAAAGTAGATTCTAACGTCTTAAGAGCGCGCAAGCCCTATAACGTTTATAAAGAAGCTCTCTACTAACGCTATATAGGTAAGGCGTATTAGAGTTAGTCCTAATAGAGTATTAGTCTAGAGAATTACCTCTTTCTAAGCTTTAATTCTTATAGCTTGCCCTCTAGCGTATACGACGACGTTTAAGTTAGCTTCTACCGTCTTTTTCTAGCTCTAATTCTCTAAGTTGTAGACGTAAATATTAGAGCTAGAGTTACAGATCTACCTATTAATAAGGTGTAGAGCTGTTAGAACTATCTTCTAGGTTTCTAAAACCTTAGCTGTTGCACTAAAGGAGTAGAATACGGGGTTAGTAGAAGAGGTACCGCTTATTAGCTTGTTATTATTAAAGCTTAGTAGAGTAGTGCTCGCTTTTAGCGTAGGTTTATTTCGCTATTTAGGGGTTCTCTAATTAGCGGCTTGTTTAAACTTCTTAGCCTACTTCTTTTCCTTCTTTTTCTTATTAAACTTAGCCTAAATTTTCGCGTTAGGCTTCTAGCTAGTTAGACAGACCTTTAGGTTAACGTAAAAGCACTAGCTAAACTAGTAACAATGCCCGTAGAAGTACTCTAGTATTTCTCCTTAAAACTTACTACGTCTCTAGCTCTAGTTCTATTGTTATAATACTGTACCTAGTATTATATACGTCTCTAGGCTAGCTATAATAGGTTTAGTAGCTCTCTATAGCTGTTTAAATTCTGCTACTAGGTCTAGTACTATAGAAGCTTAATTTTCTAGCTAGGTAAATAGCTACGTAATCCTAAGCGTAGAGTACGCTTTATTAATTAGTTAAAGAGCTTTAAGTAGCTCTCTCTAGGCTCGTGTACTCTATACGTCTAGCATGTTAAGTTTAGCTATATAGTTAGTAATCTAAATCTATTTATTAAGCTAGTTATCTAGTTTATTACCCTTCTAGGTCTTCTAGACTTTCTTATATTATTCTAGTAGTACGTCTTAACGTAACGCGTTAGTTATTACGACCTATTTCTTTAAGCTTACTAACCTTTTATAGGCTGTATTCTTGTCTATAATATATAGTATAAGGTAGGTATTAATTATTATAGCGATGTATACTAATACTTTCCTTAGACCTTTCTATATAAGGAGGTGCTTCTTAAGGTTCTCCTTATACCTTTCTTTCTAGTCCTAGTACTCTAACTTTTCGTTAGCGTTAAGATCCCCTATCTTTGTAGCTTCTTGCTTAATTATTAACAGCGTTAGGCGTTTAGGCTTCTTCTAAATCCTCTTACGTTCTAACTCTTTTAGATCTAGGTTGTAGTAGGCCTAAACCCTATATTATGTAGCCTTTTTCTTTACAAGAAACTTCTAGTAAGGCTAATTCTACGAAGCACTAAGTATTTTAACGGCTTTTGTAACGTTAGTAATAGTAATAGTGTTCTCTATTGTAGAAATTATAGTGCGCAGAGCTAATTTAATTGTGTATAGCGTATTTCTAGAGTAACTCTAGAATCTGTTAGCGACGACGAGGTGTATAAGTTAGTAACTCTATCGTCTAATTGTATTAAATAAACTTAGCAGGTTTAATTTACAGTAGTAGGCAAATCCGGGCTTATAACTATTAGGTGAATTGCAGAGTATTAAGACATGAGTTGATTAATTAAGAATACGAGAAATATGGCTATATATATACATGACCAGGTCACGTGAAGTAGTAACCATATCCGGCAACAGAACTTCTACTATTCGGAGTCCCCGCCAACGCCTTCTCCATCTATCAAGCCGCTGTCGTTAGCCTCCGATGCGCCAATCGGAGTTGAGGAAGCTTCGAGTCTGGGCGAATTACCACAATTTGCTGTCATCCCACAAATCTCTCATGTTCCTCGAAATTCTTACAACATGTCCTCAGGGTCAGGCTTCAGAATACTTGCGGTGCTTACCGCATTAGCAAATCGTCACCGGCATGTTGCCATTGAGAAGGCTAATTCAGCTTGCTACAGCCTCCACCTGGCAACCAGAGATGACATCCAAAGACAAGCCCAATGGCCACGGATTTCGAGGCGCGGACTATAGTGGCAAACGTCCCTGGGCATGACCGCATCGAAAAAGCTAATCCTGCTTGCTACAGCCATTACTTCGCAATCCAAACCGTTATTCAGCAACATCCCAATAACGACGAGGAGTATCAGACACGGACGGCAACAACAAACGTCGCAATGCGTGATCTCGTCAAGGCCCACCTGCTACAGCTTCCACTGACAATCGAAACGGTAATCCAGCAACAACCCGAGGCTGCAAAGAGCATCAGGCGCGTAAAACCTCGAAAGCTTCCTCGGACACAAGCTACAATCACAAGCACCACTCCTATACATGATCGCAGAGCAATGTTTGCGAGGCCACAAGTCCCCTTGGAAGAGAAGGTTAAATCCGCGGGTTCCCGTTCGACACCTCAGTATTTCCAGCACTTCGCTTCGTCTGCCATTATCACGAATTACAGCGCGAAAGGCGAAAGCCTATCACGAAAATGTTTCAAACCACCTTACATTCCTCCACCACCCATCTCCAACTTTGCCATACTCGCTCAATCGCCATGAGATGCCGTCAATGCGAACACAACAACGAAATAGGAATGACGAAGTGCCAGAAGTGCGGTGCATGGATAGACTTTGTCCGCATCGATGTTCAGGTCGACACTTCTCGAGAGGACCTGCATAGGGAGGGTGAGGATGGCGCCGAGAGCTTGGACGAGGATAGCGCTGAGGGCCTGGGCAACAAGGGTGGAAAGAAAGGAGGTGATCAGGACGGAAAATGTTGCAATGGTGACAAAGGAGAAAGTCAGGATGGCAAGGGGAATGATCGGTGATGGGAAGGTGGGCAATAATAGTGGAGGCGCAGCCGGCGCAGCTGTGGTGAGTGGTTAGGGGCAGTTGGATATTTCACGGCATGGGTACAGAGGCACGCAAGTCATCATTTGATCATTCTATCTATCTCAGACGTTCTCACTGTCATGAGCGGCGTTTCCTTGAGCGCCGAGTTTGAGGAAAACGTCCGAGTCTATGTATCTAGCACAGCCGAGCGTGCAGATAGCAAGCATATTATTCGGAATCTTCGGTCGCATAATCCTCCAAACAGTGCACCCCCAATCCCCTTCCCCTAATTCCTCTTGTTTTGCCACTTCATGTACTCCCTCCCTACTTCCCTTAAACCCGATTTATACAGCCTCCGCCCAACGGTCCTCCGCCACCAGTATGGGTCCTCATGCTCGCCCTCAGCTTCGAACTCAAGATTCAGACCGCAAGATACAGAGAACTTGGTCGCGATCCAGTCCTTTGGGAAGAAGCCTGCGATTTCGAAGTCGATAATTCCAATTGCGGGCTGCGGAGGGGATGTACTCGAAGATGTCATAGTGGGTCCAGGTCCGTCAAGGAGCAAGACATTAGTTGGTCCGAGATTGGCATGGTAGAAGACGAAAGGCGCCTGCATATCCATCCCAAGCTGCTCGCACGCTGTGCGGATAGCGATTACATCGAAAGTGTCTTCCTCGGAGCGCTGGAGATAGGGTTCCCAAATTCCCTTCCCATCAATGCCTCCAACAACACTTGACTCCCATCCCATCATCTCCTTGATGGCGCACACGACCGCCTCGGCGTAGCTCTGACGCTTCTCCTCACTCAGCTCGCGCCACGCAGCGGCAAGCGTGCGGCCTGGGACTCGTGTCATGAACAGAAAGCTGCGATCGGCAGTCTCGAAGGCATGGACAATTCGTGGTGTCGTGAAGGAGGTTGGCCGTTTAGCGCAGACGTACGAGAGCGTGTCCAGTTCGCTGGTCACTGTGATATCAAAATGCTCAAGTTGGCGGATCTTGCAGACAACTTTAGTGCCAATGCTAAAGAATGCGCGGCCGCCGGAGCAGTCGTAGGTGGGCTTGATGTAGGGCGTATCGAGGGTGGTGGCAGGTGGAGGAGGCGGGGATGAGTAGGTGAAGGTGTAGGATGCGTTTTCGGCTTCGTCAAGCCAGCCTAAGGGATTTGAAGTGGAAGTTATGTCTAAGGGCAACGGTGGAGAGCTCCTAGTGAGGATCCAGTCCCCAATGAGCCATGAGTTGGCATCAATCTGCTGGATGATGTCGGTGATGTGCGCTTTGCCAGGGTTAGACATTGTGCGTTCAGCATCAATATGCTTAATAGAGTAGGCTTCACCATGTTCGGACATAGTTGCGTCGGCGCTCGAGGTTTGCGGATAGACCCTCCAATTGGCTCAACTGAAGATGCGGGAAGGTGTAGTGCTAATAACAAGGCCCCTTAGGATTACGTTTTATATCGAAAGAAGCGCATCATAAAAAATATATTACATTTTAGATTGTGCGGTGACAACGCCTTGGCGCAGGGCATGGATGGCCAGCCTCGGTCCCTCGGAACTGTAAGTGAATATGATGCATGGCAGAATAACAGGCAACCAAGATTAAAGATACCAAGCAAGAGAACCCTGAGAGAGCGGAGGGAGGCAAACCACAAGTTGCGCAGCTAGGAAAGGAAGCAGTAAGTGTCTTCGACCACGATAATAAGGTGGACAAGACTCAGACTTATGTTAATAGTATTCGACCTTGAGACTCAACGGCGGCGAGCGGTACCGGAGCCCCGGGTCATTCACTCCACTACCTTCTCCGATCCATCATCAGCTTGCTCGGTCGCCTCGATCTCCATCCTATTTAGGCTGTTAATAGGATTCCATGTTGAACTTCGTTCTTGCGAGAACTCGAAGGGTTTTAGGGGTGTGGTCCGTATTCGGCGTCGAAAAGCTCCCTATCTAGCGCCGCCCCAGCATAACGTCCCTCGATCGAGCTCCAACAGTTCCAAACCCCTGGGCACTCCCATCTCCACTAGTCGAGCCTCCCCTTCGCAGGCGCCCGGAACAGCATACAGAAATCAAAGCATCTTTCCATCGTCCTCGCGCGTTATAACATTGTCCACCGTCCAACCGTCTGATAGACCAGCGGCCCGTCCATCAATAGAACGCCGGGCCGTAATTTCGCCCAGACCGAGCAGTGAGAAAGCCGACGGAAGCGCCTTGGAGAAGGCCACAGTGGCTGCGTCTGACGGGTGCTCTTGTACGGTCGAAGACGCCGATCCAAGCTCAAGGGTATAATGCTGCCTTCTTCACAAAGGCGCATGCTACCATACGGTAGAGGACGCCGAATAAAGCTTGAGAACGTACCTCCGTGGACTTGGCAAAGGCGCAAGTGCGATCGTGGGAACTCGAATTAGAGCTTGAGGATATCCCACCGCAATCTTCATGGGGGCCCATGTATGCCAGAGTGAGAAGCTGGTATGGAAGCTCGTAGAAATACCACCCCATTCGCAATGGTGGAGTACTCTGGTTGAATGCTTAAGAATGTGAATTGCGTCTTTCTTGAATAAGTATATAGGCGCGCACACCATTCTAGCACTTCAATAATAAGGGCAGGTTAACATGTTGCTGTATCCGCCAAAGAGCAGTTCAAGATGGAGATGGAGGAAACCGAGGCGACCGAATTTGTGATATCGCCGCGACTTCAAGACGAGCATCATAGGATGCAGAAGGAAGCCGCTGCGAGCCCGATTCGTAATGCGGCCACGTCTCTAAAAACTAACACAGGATTCAAAGGATGAAGAATGCCGACGGGGCCTGAATTCGTGATATCGCCGTCGTTAAAGACCAGTGAGATCCAAAAGATCAAGGAATCTAACGGGAGCCTAATTCATAATGACGCCTAGTTCCTTGGAATACGATGGGATCAAGAGGATAAGGAAGCCGGTGAGAATCCAGATTGTAAGATAGCTGTGTTCCTTATGGAGGATGGGGCGAGACGCAGGAAGCCATTTAGAAGCCTATATAGCAAGACTGCCGTCCTCTGTGGAGCATGAAGGTGACATATAGGAAGCTCATTGGGAGCCCAATTCACTGATGGCCGCGTTCTTCATAGAGTATGAGGACGAGACGTAAGAAGGCGATCGGGAGCCCAAGCCGTAAGCCCACCATTTCTTGGTGGGGTATGAGGTTAAGGTGGAAAAAGCAGACTACACGTCTAACTCGCAAGGCCGCCGTGTTCCGTGGAGTACGAGGGTAAGATGTAGTATGCCGATAGGAGCTCGCCCATATGGCCGCCTAATTCCTGAGTGTTAGAGCGATTGCATGGAGGCCGCGGATAGAAGCGCATATTGATATTGTACTGCCACCAGATGTCCATTAGTATTAGGGCGATTGGAGGGACGCCAATGAGAACTTGTTGTAGTGCCGCCCTGTTCTCAGTAAAGTGTCAAGGTGAGAGGGCGTACGACGGTCACGTGCAGATGAAGCTTTCCTAGAGGGTAAAGGCGAGGAGGTGTCCTCACGCCATTCCTTTAGGAGTTACTCTTCACCTGTCCCATACGCTTGCTGAACAACGAACTGGTATTAGAATTCTTGACTGGTCCATTGTGCTGTCATATCCCCTGTGAAGTGTGAGGCTGGTTGCGGAGACTGATAAATCCTAGTTCAGTGCCGTCGCGTCCTCTGCGATGTGAGGAAAGAATGCTTAGCTTGATAGATGCTGGTTATAGCGCCACTGTATTCCTCACGTATAATGGTTTAATCCTCAGACGAATAGACGCTCGCAAAGTCGCTATGTCCTCCGCGATGTGAAGTTGACGATGCTCAGCCGGATAGCCTGCCCCCTGAATTCTCCCTGTACGATGGATTCCGGTAGGTATGCAGCCGCTGCGGATTCCTCGCGTATGATGGGGTTGATCCTCAGGAAAATAGACGCCAGTATAGCCACGGTGTTGTTCGAGATGTGAAGGTTGAGGATGCTCAGCCCGATGACCCGCCCCCGTGTTGTCCGCGTACGATGGTGCTGATGCTCAACTGGATGGATTCTTGTGGGTGTGCCGCCGTATCCTCCGCGGATAGGGGCGCGGCTCGAGCTGACATGCGCTGGATGTGGCGTCGATGTGTTCTTCGCGTATAAGGGCACGCACGCTCGAGCGAACGCATGCCGGACGCGGCGTCGACGTGTTTTTCGTGTATGAGGGCGCGCATGCTCAAGCCGATATATGCTAGATGTAGTGCGGTGTCTTCGCGGGAGGATGGGTGCTCAGCCCAATGGATGCTAGCTGTAGTGTCGACGAGCGTTTAAGGGTGCGTTCCCCGCAGTATGGCGATGTGGATACACCATGCGAAAAAGGAGTTTGCAATGGTGTCAAAGGTGGACTCGCGTGAGGCGCCTCTTCACAGGATGGGCGGCGAGAAAAAACGAGGCTAGCAGACTTAGCGCGGCGTGGGAGGAGAAGCTAAACCGAGTTCGGCAAACTAAGACACGAACTCTCAGCATAGGACGTGTTTTTACATTTGGTTTTACGCTTGGTCGCATGTGACAGCTTAGAATACGGCTGCAAGAGCAAAATCTATGAGGTGCGTAGGTATACATTGCTCGGTCACGTGCAGGGTGGGCTGGAGCTTGCTCGGGCTCGGCGATCACCAAGCCAGACACATTCGATGAGCGGTAGCCACATTCGTCCTTGTGAATAGCAGATTTCATTTCGTAACTTATCGCTGAAATACATCTCTATTTCTTAATCTGCGTATTCATGTTGGCCGCCTCGTTGCACGTGATTGCAGCCGGGTCGGGTGGTCGGAGCTTAACCGGGCCGACCTCGGGAGATACGTCAACACCAAACAAACATTCGTCTCGTCGAACGACCACAACACGCACCCTACAGTCGACGGCGTCCCCGTGAGAAAGGCCACGACGCTCCACAAAGTCGTTCTCTCATGCTAGAAAATCGAAAACGCGCCCGTTCCGAGGACCCAGGCGTACCCCGTCTGGCGTCGAAGCGACGGACGCATCCTCCCTCTCTCTCGCTCTCGATCCCGGCCCCAGCCTCGCTTTCGTCACCGCCTGCGACACCTCTATCAGCGCGCCTTCCTCTCACTCACGAGAATCTTCGCATCTGGACGCTCCGTCAATCGCCCTGCGAAGCAGCCATGCCGCCCGCCTCCGAATCCGAATCCGGCCAATCCAACCCCGTCGATTCTGAGCAACGGCTCCGCGCATACGGCGTCTTCGTCGATACTCAAAACGCTCTTCCCGACGCTCTCAACGAGTATATCAACGTCCTCATCAAGGCTCCACGCGAGCACACGTCGCCTTCGGCCAGGAACATGGGCAGGAAACAAGGTCGGGCGCGAGCAGGCAGCGAGCAGGCAGGCATTGATCTCCTCAAGGACCATCTGCTGTTCGTCGGGGAGGCAGACGGAGGCATACCGCTCATTACCTACCTGCCACAAGTCAACCTAAGCCGAACCTATCTCCCCGCACCTCCCACCGAATTGGTCGCGAAAGAGCTGGGTCTTCTCACGCAACCCCGGCCGGATTCGCTCGTTGGCTACATCACATCGACCGAGGCGGAGACATGCGGTTCGAAAGCTCCAATAACGCCCGAGCAAGAACGGATCTTCCTCAAGAATACGCTGACGTCGAGCGTACATTTTCCGTTCCTTAGCTGCCAATGGAAGAGCTCGAAGAAGACCCAAAACGAAGCAATGCTCCAGGCGGCGCGCGATGGCTCTACCATCAGCAACTATCTCCACGACTTCTTCACCGCAGCCGGCCACGAACCGTCTTTGATTGACACGAGCCACTTCTCCTTGACGTGCGACATGAATACTGTGCACTTGTGGGTGCATTGGCGGCAGGAGGAGGGAGACGTCAAACACTTCATGAAGATTATCGGCCAAGCCTTCCTGCGCGATATCGACGATGACGGGAACCCACAACTTGTGAAGATCAGGAAGATGCTGCGCAACCTACTCGACTACGCCGTAGGTGCCCGGCTTCAAAAGATCAGGAGCGCAATACCCGATCTGGAGGCAAACAAGGCACGAAAACGCAGCCAATCGCCACGAAAAGGACGGCGCTGTTCCCCAACCAAGTGTGGGTCAGACACCCTCTCGCTTCCGAGTGCCAAATCCAGCAACAACCTTTTCAACATGCCGCCACCGCACCTGCCCTCACCGACGCTCAGCGAAACCAAGAAACAGAAGCTAGACCCCGGGGCGCCGGACTAGATCGCGAGGATATGAGTTCACAATAGGTCTAGTCGGCATTGGCCAGGAGAAGCGCGGGCATCTGGTGTATTTGGATCATCATCGATGGGAGGCTCTACAGAGTGGGCACTGCAGCTCAAGATATCAATGGAATTTTTCTGGACGACTCGATCACTCGTCCGCGCGGATGCCTGAAGCTTTGTCTTTCCTCTGTTGAATTCAAGAACCCTGAATGCGGCAGTGCATCTGCGGAAGACGAGGATGATTCGCAGCAGACAGGCTATACAGCATGCGCCTTTGCGGCGGACTTCCGAAGCTATGCTCTGTGAACGCTTCATCACGGACATGACTCACCATTTCGTCTACAACATCCCCCAAATATTGACCTTCAAGACGGCGGTACAATTCAGGAATCAGGCGGAGCTGGCATGAATAACGGTACTGTGAGGAACGCTTTCGTCGTCAATAGTATATCACGCCTATCTCACCACTTTCGTCACCTTCTCGGACTTATTCGGCATTCCTCTCGCAGTCTGGCCGAAGCGTGAGCAACACGAGTGGATTCTCCGCGACAATGATCACCGACAGTGGAAGCCATGGATCAGAACTGCGCCTGTGCGAGTTGGCCAAGCTCATACGTCAGTCACTGCGGAACGGCGTTTCATTGTTCCTCCACAATAGTCTTGCGGGACCGCAGCTTGCACGGAGGAAGAACTTGGGCAGGGATGTACTGCAGGCCAGTCACAACAGGACGCTGAAGCAATCCACACTGTCCACCTTTCGTCACGTCAACCGCGCAAATGGGCCATCAAGAAGCCCAGCGATTTCCGAGAGCTTCGAAGGCATCGGTTCAATCGCGATCTTTCTTAGCGCGCGGTTTGCTGGACGGGATCGAGGACTTCGCGGACCTGATGGAGAGGTGGATTGGCGGCCTTTGAAGGAGGATGCTATGTTGAAGGATGGGAGGGAAGATATGAAGATATGGAGAAGGTGTGGAGAAGTTGCGAGGATATGGAGAGGATAGAGGAGAAGCGGGAGCCGCAACCTGGGATGAAAGACCCGGATCTTTCGTAGGGGGTGAGGATGGCTGCGCTGGAGAGGATTAGCGTTGAAAAGGCTTGTGGGGTTACGATTGCGGTGAAGAGCAAGTGGGAGAGAGGGTCTTTACACTGGACACGAAAGTCGTTGAAGAGGAGATAAGAGCGAGGATCTAGGAGGCGTTTAGTGGTTACTGAAATTGTCGCATTCATTTGTCGACATGTGGACCATTCTTAACAAATGTCGCCAAAGTCGCCTAGTCATAAGCCTTTGAAACTCTAGAATACAACCCTTCTTCAAAGTGTCGCATGTATCTCATCCTCGGCGAAGATCAAATCTAGAAACCCATTGCCCTTGTCATCAGCTTCCGCATACGTTTGCACCAGGTCTTCCTCGTTATAACGCGATGTTCGGCATCCACTCCCCTTCTTCCCACACCCGGCATCAACAACCACTTATCCGCACCTTCGATGGCTTTTAATATCCGCACTATATCACTTACGAACCTCTGCTAAGCCTCTAAGTACTTGTTTGGTTGCATCGACAACGCAAGGTCCCAAAGGGGTTCAAGAGGCTCGTCACACTTCGGCATTCTGACTCGTCGCGCTGCGTCAAGGTAAAGCATAAGATCCGCAATGGAGGGAGTTTCTCACATTGCAGGTTAATTAGAAGTTTCGTAGATGCGGTATTAACTATAAGAATCTAGATAGAAGGCAGCTAAAAAGTATTCTAAAGCACCTAGAGAATAACTTATACTATAACGTACTTTACCACAAACCCCCCACACCACCGAACCCCTACTAAATGCTACTATCTTATTTAGATTGCTCTAACTCTAAGCTGCTTAAGATAAATCTAGATAAGCTATCTAACTTATCTATATTGTCTTTAACTACCTAGCACGTTTGCGCGTTATACTCTAGCTTACTATAGCGTCTGTAGCGTTGCTAAGCTAGCTACTTACGATTCGCGTCCACGAAGGACGGCATTGCCGAGCAGCTGCATCGTGACATGGACGAGCCACTCTACAGCCAAGTTGGAGGGAACAAATGCAAGCATTAGCTCAGCCAGACCTAAACCGGCGAAGCTAGCCAAGTACGCGAAGGGGGTGTTGCGGAGGCCAAACTTGAGAAAGGGGATGGTGACGAGGAGGAAGTATCGAATAGGGTCGAGATTGAAGCAGCGGACCAGGGCGAGGAGGATGTGGTGAAGGGCCTCAAACGACGCCATGGTGGTATGAGGCGGAGCTGGATCGAAGAGGATCGAAGGACTGATTGCGCTTGGGAAACGGGCGTTGGGGCCGTATAATCTGATGACGCGACTAGTGGGTAGATGACTGTGGTCAAGGTTGATGGGTGGGAAGATGGGAAGGCAATGGTGTATCCCTTTATATCCCTCTCCGTGCCAGTGTCTTTAAAGACATTGTTAACCTCGCACCCTTTATATCCCTCTTCATGCCAGTGCCTTGAAAGACATTGTTAACCTCGCACCCTCCACAAGGCCACCAGTGGACCGCATTGTATACTCGCTCCACCAAAACGATCTGAGCTAAGACATACCTAGGAGTGTCTACTTGATAGCTGATTCACTTTGGACTGAGACACACGTCACGGCACTGAACCCCCCGGTCGCGGCCATACGAGGCGAAGCACACACGTTCTAGAATCTGGCATTTGCCGCAAGATTGATTGGGATGTATCAGACATAGATGCACGAGAAACAACTCGCTTCCGACCACCGTTTCTTGTGCACGCGCATTTCCAAGGGCGTGCGTAGATCGGACACCATCTCATTCCTCAAACCTTCTCGCCACCGGAACCCTCAACCGGTATTTTCCCAAATTCAAGACCATACCAAACACTGCTAAGAGACCAACGGGAAGATCGCAAAGCCAGCTCACAAGAATGATTGGCAAAGTCGAAATGGGGAGGCCACTGCTATCAAGCTGCTGGTGCGCTGCCTACGCCCCCTATCCCGCCAGTTGTCGCCGTTTCTTGCAAGCCCAATCTGGCTTCTCATCCACCCTCACCATCTCCCGCCCATCGAAGAAGTACAACCCATCCTCCTCAGGCGATGATGATGCACGCTCCTCTGAGTCCGCCAGTCCGTTGCCGATCTTGTAGTAATAGCCAGGCTTGTCTACCCTTTGACGAAGCCACATCACAAGGACTCCTTGAAGCGGGACAGGTGGAGCCGCTGGAAGGATGTTCTGCGGGCGCCCGCGGAATCGCTCGTTCAATGGGGTGCAGAAGGGATCAAGAGCATTCTGGTCCTGCTGATTGTACCCGAGAGCCGGGATATTTGGATGTCCGGCTTGAGGTTTCGGCACGGCGTAGAGGTCATTATACGAGCCATAGCCATCGTCAGGCTTGGAATGGGATCTGGATGCTTGGGGACCCCCGTTGGCGTACAGCCGCATCTAGTTATAGGATCCATAGAACGGGCGGTGGGATTGCTGGCATGTAGGTGATCTTAGTGGCATCCGCGCCGTCTTTTCGTATGGGCTATATGGCAGAGTGTGGTGCGGCGGATGCATTAGTCGTACCGTCTCTTCGTGCGATCCAACGGGGGCCGAGATGTAGGGGCCGCGGGGGCCTCGGTATGAGACATGGCGGTTCTTCGTACAATCCGCGCTCTTCGTGCTGTTGATGTAGCCGCAGCGGCGGGGACTGTATCGCCTCTCGATGAGCTTTAGTTGTGTCGATGTCGCCCCTTGGGGTTTGGGTATGATTCAATTGGTGTTGCACCATCGTGACTCCGCCGTGCGTGTTTGGATGTTGAGGGAGAGAGAGAGAGAGAGATGACGAACATTGTGTTTGGTTTTGGGCGGCGGAAGCCTGGAGGCGGTGAATGACCTACCACATCAAACTCTTCTGCCGCGTCGAATCCTTCTGCCAGGTCAACCCATGCGACCGGGTCCAACCCCTCTACTACGTCAAACTCTTCTACTACACCGAAACCTTCTACCACATCGAACCCTTTTCTTGGCCCTGTTGGTTGCCTTGCACCTGGGAAGCGGCTGGAGGGCGTGTGCATATTTTCCGTGCTAAGCGACCTGGTCCCACGAAGCAGCAGGATCTGGGAACTGCCTCCTTACAACGACGAATTCTCACCTCGACCCCCCTCAGATTGGCAGCAGGCGAAGCGTGTCATCTCACCCTTCGGTCACGGTGAACATTGGATCACTATCAGCTTTGATTCCGGCAATATGCAATATACCATCTTGGATTCCATGTCGAAGATATCGCAGTTTTCGAGCACCTACTCGAAGATCGCCGAGCGCATTGCCCAGAGTCTGCAGCCCAACATTGGTCCCAATATGCTGGGGCGCCTCGTCTGAACACTACTCGCCGAAGATCGTTCGCCATCTCAGCAAGTAGGGACCCAAGATTGTGGAGTGTTTACCATTGTAAACACGCTTCTCCTCGCTGCTAACATCGATCTGTATACCTTCTCGATCGACGCATTCGTATGGCGATTGGTCTTGCGCAGGTATATAGAGAAACGGCATCCAGCGTCTGACACACCAACCGATTAGATTCAAGAGCATCTCGAAACCTTCGGTGCCTCCGAATCGTCTGAGCCAGTTAGGTTTACAGACGCCGCGGCAAGCTACAAAACCAAGGGGGAGCGGATTGCATTGCTGTCGAACATAGCGCGGGCTATTAATCGCATGCAGACTATGTTCAAGAAACTCTTAGGCGAGGCAAAGCGTTAGGAAGCAGAGCTGCAAGCGCGCGCTAATCACGCGGACGAAGAGGCTCAGGCTAGCAGGCAGCAGTTAGAGGCCTACAAGGCGAACTACCGCTCGGCTATCGCTAAGAGTTAGAGCGCGGCTAACATGATTTGACGGTTGCAGAATATTACAGCGGACGAATACAGTGCAGTCTCTCGTGAGTCGAAGCGGGAGATTACTCAATTGCTAAGGATCCAGGCGACCATTCACGACATCGCAGAGGCAGCTCGGGGCGTGCAGAGGCACACGGAGGAGATCCGCGCGAACCGGCAAAAGATTCGAGAGCAGCATGTCGCTGCCATGAGGCAGCTTGTAGAGTCAGAGCGCACCAAAGAGTCAGAGCGCACCAAAGAGTCAGAGCGCACCAAAGAGTCAGAGCGCACCAAAGAGTCAGAGCGCACCAAAGAGTCAGAGCGCACCAAAGAGTCAGAGCTACGTCAAGCAGCGAAGGAGATGGCGAAAAGAGCTAGGGAGCATAGGAAGATAGTAAGGGAGCAAGAAGCTTTTCTTAATAGGCTGCGTGGCAAGGATGCATAAATCCGCGCTAGGGTGTAGTGGCTAGGAGGACTACGAAGGGCTGCGGACTAGGTCGCTTTCTTGGGTTTGTTTCTCCGAAGAAGGATTCAAATAATATCCTAGGGTTGGAGAACGAGCGTATATGTAGCTAGACATGGAAAAGAAATATCTGTCACTCGTGATAGATGTATGATACTCTGGCTTTCTAGTGCTTGCTCTGCAGGTTACCTATTGCCAGATAGTTCTATCAATCAACTCACGGCTCCGTACTTGCCCATTTGCTGATATTGCTTTATATCCTAGATGCGAGGGTGCCGACATGTGGAATGGAAATTGCAATCGCAGTCGTCTAATACGATGGAGGTGTCGAAGATACTAAAGGATATGGCCAACGATCGCTCTGCAGCTCCAACCAAGATGAGGTAGGACTGCGCATATTGTGATGAAGTCTATGTACGATGTCCGACTCCTAATCTGGCGTCGAGCTTGTCATGGAGCTTGGGCAACGATGTAGAGTGGAGGAAGTCCGGATGTGCGATCTTGGGCGCGGCTCTCTGGGGGGGCGCCATCCGATCTCTGCGGGCAGGGGGGGTTGCAGTGGATTGGGGCCTTGGGTTGGGGGGACTCTGTGGCACACGGTAAAAAGTAGTTACACATATCGGCATGCCTAGGAAAGAAAAAGTCTGTCGTGCTTCTCGAGAAGGAAATAGTAGTCTCCGGCCGCATTGACACTTATACTTATCCAAGGAAGTAAGTAATATGAGTCGACCCGGCCACAGCATACAGCTACGTGCAGCCTCGCGGCCTCCCGTGCAATCTCCTATGCCGGGTGATCAGGGCAATCTATGCAAGTATCTCTCCTGTAATCATCCATGCAGGCCTATGTACGAAATTCACGATTGCCAGAGCTTTGCGCCCTGATTAGCAATCTAGATCACCGTCCTACCGCTCGAGCACAATTCTAAGGAGCGGAATCACGTCTTCTGTCTCCTCTCCGCCCTACTTCCTACTTTTACTCCCTACGGGTTCCACTAAATGCCGTTTCCCTCGATCCTTTAACCTACAAATAGTTAAACGATCCTGTTCTCTAGTCGCGGTTCTTGTCTCGTGCATCGGGACATAAATCCTCTATTACTACTTCTGGTTTTTACTGTTAATAGGGGTAACGGCATAGGAATGGCGAAAGTTGAGGCTGGTGGAACGGTGGGTTCTAAACGAATTGGTGCATAATGCAACGTGGAAGTCTTATCTCGTCTCGATGTAACCCACCACGGCAAAGGCCTTACGCCGAGAAAAGGGTGCGAGCGCAACATTTACTTCGTCCGTACGTTGAGAGCGGACCAAACAGCCTCTTGGCGGGCTGGGTGATGCCCCTGGGCGGTGACTGGCCAGTATTTTAATAAGTCGAATCTCTCAGCCCACGGGCCGCTTGGACCCATGAACATGCGGGATTACTCCTGAAAGTACCCAATCCATCCGGGATTAGCGTTGTGGATTTGTAGATTCTATTTCTCGTTTCCGCAAACCCTGTAGCGCATCCCCACCTGCATGGTATGCTCTATATTGGCATCAGATACTGATTGTCGAGTCATGCGTGTTAAATATCATGATCACGTTCTAGTGGGCAGCTCAAATCTCCTAGGCTGAGGGGCTCCGAGAAGTTTGAGAAGAGGCTCGAGACCAACCGTGATGGCACAAAAGTGGCAGAATATAGGTGTGCCAGCCGGGTCCAAGGTGTTTAACAAGTACGGAGGTCTCGTCTGTGTGGAGAATTTGCTATTAATTAACTAAAACGCCCCACCTGCGGCTTCACCGGGATAGCAGACATGAATCTAAACTTTGCATTTATATCCGTACGAACTGAGGAAAACCGGGTTTAGGTAAGTGTAGTCGAAGTTGCCACTCATTTCGCGCTTTCGCGCCGTATTCATCCGATTCCTGGGAGATCGATCAACATGGCTCATGAACAGAAAACTCCAACTGCTGCTGGACGGCGCGTATATGGGGATGGGCGACTTGACCCTCGTATTGTGGGCTTCCCCATCCTCGAAGGCATTATGCAGGGCATCGTTAGGGTTTGTTCAATGGCCTAGCAGTGTCAGCGATAGGTTATAGTGCAGTTACGAGGAGCACTGTATAAAGAAGGAAGTTGTTCGTGGCCTTGCTCGAGCTTGAAGTATTAAGTGTTGTCGACAAACCCGTTGATGAAGACATAAGGGGTGCCTTGTCCTTGACCCAGCGAGTTAGCACCCAGCGAAGTGAAGGAGGATGAGAGTAAGCCCACCTCACGGTTCATAGGAAGGCTGACAAGGGGTTTCTAGTTAGCGCTCCGGGGTTTAGCAAGGCATGGGGACGATGATGAGTTGACGTGGTGCTGTGGAATGGGGCTCCTGAGCCGCCGGATGCGCCCTGGAGTGATTCGTCCTTCTCACTCAGGTGTGATGATTCCCTGATGTGAAATGGATGAGATGGTGGTGTTGGGTAGGAAGTAGGGGATGGTAGGAAGAAGGGAACGGTAGGAGGAAGAAGGCAGTACAGCGGGAGAGCTCGTAGTAGTAATAGAGTGAGGCAGCATTCTCCGCGGTCGATCCACACCGACGGCGCTCTTCCTTAGCCAAAAGTACAACTAAGGAGAGGGAGCAATGTTAGGTAATTTCAGAATATAACTCTAAAGAGGGCGGGCGCAACAACCTTCAGCTAAGTGGGTCTGGACAGTAGAGGTCGTATACATAAGTGAGACGTAAAATCCGCATGCTAGGAGATAATATAACCTTACCTTAGCCATCCACGAAGGGATTGTGTACTTGTTCATGCGCACTGCTCCAGTCGACGCTCGTAGCCTAGCAAGAGTTCAGGCCGTCAGAACATGAACATCTTTCTGTGAAAAGACGCGGACATTAGAAGTAATCTAGGCCAATCCCAGAGGTAACGTCGTAAGGAATCCTCCGTTTAATCGGTCCAGCCAAACGACGAATCGCCCAGCAGCCATCGTTCTCGAGGCACTCCGTGACAAGCCGCAGGTACGATGGAAACCATGGTACAGTAGTAGCCAACAAGACCAGCGAGGAGACGCTTTGCGCAGCTGATCCTGTTTGAGAAGCGGCGTTCCGACGAGAAGTGCGAGGGAGCCAGATGGCGCAGCCAGTGGAGGTGAATATGTATATAACGTGAAATGATAGCAACGCCGATTCAGACAATAGTTGTAGCTATTTAACCTACCACCTACCACCTGCTAGGCAGCCTGGACGGGATATTCGCGCGTGTTGGGGAATGAATCAGGCCGAAGCTTATCGGTGAAGCACTTATCAATACGTTGCTGTGAACTTCACGTCACTTCGAGCCTTATTCGTAACGTCTGGCGCCAGCATCTCTATATCTTCTCTAGATCTGCATAACCAGTTGCGACTAGAGCATCACGACAGGGAATCCATTGGAATCTGTCACGATCTCGGATCCATTATTATCGGAACCAGTCACCCTCAAGGATTTGAGCCGGAAGATCGCGTGCTTGAATGCGTCTGAGCAGAGGAGGTGGGGGAGTAGTAGTACTGTGCTGGCTAGCTGGTAGCGAAAAATAGCACGTTCCAAACTTCATGCGGAGCTTTCGTATCTCCGATTGGCTCATCCTCACCCCTGCTGTTCGTCCCGCTTTTCAGTCGTATCCCAATCGCGAGCTTTCCATCTGTGATCAGGCTTTTTTGTTGCCGACATGGAAACCTTGAAGCTTGGAAGCATCGTCCCGAGTTTCGTCGATTGCGAAAACGGCCGCAGGGAGAGATATGGAAGGGGAAATATCTGCTCACCGGATCCTGACTGCAGGAAAGTGTGTCGCATTTGCAGTACTAATAGACCTTAGTGTTGAGCTGTTGAGAAGAGGTGGAATGACTCGAAATAGCAGCACTTCGGAAAGGGTTGGTTTCGAATGAGATGGCATGGATGGGGCGTCGCAATCAGGCTCCTAAAAGTAACGCCGCTGAATGGCTGCACTAGAGGCCAGAGGAGAGCTAGTGTGCCACCATGGTGACTGATTTACAGAAGGGGTTGTTGAAGAGATGTCGAAGAGAACGTTGAAGAGATCGTCGAGGGGGTCATCGAAAAGGTCATCGAAAAGGCTGTACAAGAAGTCGGTGGAGAGTTGCAATGTCCATAGCAACAGGATGCATCACTCCCGCTTCTCATCCATTATTAATGGAACCAGGCGTGGCGTAACATACTCGTTTCGCGGTATCCAAAGCCAGTTCACTGCTCCCAGCTCTTTCGAGGCACGACGATGCTAGTCCTGGTTGGGAATACGATGGCTAGGCGAATAGAGGGAGCTCTGAAAAGAAGAGAGTAGAGAGGATAATAGCGTAGAGAGAGAAAAGGATGTCGAGTCTGAATAGATATATTTGATTGAATCTCGGAGAATGCAGAACCACAGCAGGAAGGCAGAAGAGGCTGCGAGATCGGAGACTCGATCATGCGCCCTCGGAGATTCCAGAACGTCCCTGCCTATCGCTTCCCATGCCCGCAAACGCCGTGCTCTTGTACCATATGCACACGAAACCCCATGAAATGCATGCCGAACCAGGCGATATCCACCACCTCCTATATCCAAAACGCCATGCTTTGTACCATTCCATGAAACGCCGTAGTATGCCGAGTGAGATCGTTGAGCGCGATCGAAGGCCCGCGGGGCTACGCCCTCCGTTTCTGTACGCCTGCCATGGCTAAGGCGTCGACCCGGGCCTGCAAGCCTTCATCTGAGAGCTTCCGCTTGAAGGCAAGACGTTTGCGGTCTGGAGGACTGGGTGACCGATCCTGGGGAACAAGCGAGTTTGCCTCTTCCACTTCCGCATCCTGCAGAATCCTGACGAGCTCGGAATGATCGATCGAAAGGTCGCGATTGTCTGGAGAGTCGGCGGCGAGGTTGTGAGTGGGGGGGAAGTCCGATAGCTGCAGGTTCATGGCGCCATCGAGAGTGCGGTTCTGGCTGTCCCTAAACTTAGTCCAACCATGCTCATGGACCGTCAGTGTGATTTCATCGGCCTGCTCGACTTTAACTGCACGGAAAACGCAGTACCAAGCTTCCCGCACGGCTGGTGCCGGCTCCGCTTCCTCAACTTCGTCCGCCTCTTCCACCGGCCGTGCCAGTCTGGCTGCCACTTCATCTTGGGTCCAATGCTCAACCTTGATGCAGGCGATAGTCTTGATCTTGCCCTCGGAATCGTCAATGTATTGGGCTGCCTTGTTTTCGAGGGTCGTGGTGTCCTGTGAGGTAGCCACCTCGCCTATGAAGGTCGGGGAGCGGCGGTCTCTGATGCGGATAGAGACGGCGGGGCTCTTCTTAGCCTTGCGACCCAGCTGTGGGAGCCTTGTATCGCTCGTGCTGGCCGCGTGCAACCGGTCCACACAGGTCTGCAGGTGGGGCGGGTAAGGGCCGGCTGCGCGCACCCGCTCCAAGGCCGCATCCTGCAAGCCCAGAGCAATAGTATCATGCAAGACCCCAGGCATCCGGACCACAAATTCGCCCGATGTCTCGTCCCAGTCAAATCGCAACTTGTCCGGCCACCACGAGGCCAACTCCTTGTCCTCGGCGAGCCGCGCGTGGAGGGCTGTGTATTGCTCGGCGTCGAGCTTCTCCGAGACGAAGCGCGGGGATGCTGCGTATGTGCCCTGATGGACGCTGGCGATGGCGTTAAAGAGGCGCACGATGGGCGAAAGAGCACGCGCCGACTGGGGAGACGACGGCTCGCAGGGGCCGGAGGGGCAGGGATTTTCGGGTGCCGAGCCTGGAGAAGGAGGCGGCGTGTCGCTCATGACGGGACTGAGAGTTGAGGGTTGAGGGTTGCGCGGTGACAGCGATGGGCGCTGGGCGATGTGCGTGTCAAAGTGGCGGGTCGCGGGTCTGCTCAGTAGCACTGCTCGTTGTTCTTCCCACCGTGTTAAAGGTGAGGAATACATGTACTTGCGGCTGGTAGAGTAGAGTATCGATGTGTACAGGTTTCTCGTCCGTCTGATAAGTGTGACACGCAAGCGCACTCCGCCGCACAGGCGCGCCCTATCAATTGCAATTGCTACGAACTCTACGAACACAACAACCACACATCAGAAAATTATAATTGAAATCGCATTCAAACGCGCTTCATCTGTAGTATTTACTTGTTTCGTTGAAAATATAAAATGCGGCATGCTGCTGCGCGGGGTCCCGAGGCGCGGCGCTGATCGCAATTTTTTAATCACCAGAAGACGGACTCTACGAACTCAACAACCACGCATTGGAAAATTATGATTAAAGTCGCGTTTAAAAGAGCTCGATCCATACTAGCTGATTGCATTGTTAAAATATAAAATGCGGGTGCAGGAGGGCGCGGGGAGTATCGGGTGGAAGAGGGAGCGAGAGATCTCTGATCTTCGGCGTTCTTGAATTGCAGGCATGAAGAACTGCGCACGCCTTATGCACTCTCCTTGCGCGAAAAAAAAAAGAAACCAAAATAACGCACTTACTTCCAGACCTTACGTCGAAGAAGACCTAATTATTCCAGGGTTGCTCTTCGTGGTACTTTGTAGTGAGTTGCGACAGCTGCAGCAACTCCAGCACAGTGAATAAGGCGGGGCAAACTCCAAAACACCGAAGCCATTTCTAGCCAGACTTTGCGATATTTTAGAGCCATAAACTACGAGCAAGAAAGGCTGCAGCTGGAAAGCGCCAGTCGTGAAAAGCGGAATAAACCAATTCTTGCGCGACAATACTCCTAGGGTTTCTTCAGTTCTAATGTCCTTGAGATGGGCGAGGCGCGGTTATTCGCGCAGGAGACTCCTCTTAGAGCAGGAAGGTATGCATCCAGGAAAAAGCAATTAGTCAGTCCCGTCTCCGCTTTGCTATTAACAGTGGGCCTAATCATCCACTGGTTGATTGGATTATTCTTACTTATGGCACCTATCTTGCTTATAGTACCTTTCTTGCTTATGGTACCTTTTTATGGCGCGCCCACCTGCCTCCATGCTAACGACATTATTAAGCTGCAGAGAATGTAGGCGATTTGCTCTCAGACTGTCTCCTTCGGAGCGTAGTTCTCCACCACGACTATAGATCCATTCGGGGTCCATACACGCCCACAGTCGAGAATGCACGCACATGAAGAAGCCCTGGTTCAACCAGTACCAACCCTACAGGTTTCCCCAATTTCAACGACTCCCGTCATCTACAGAACCCGCCAACATCGCCCTCATCCTCATCCTCGACATCAACCAGGAACCCCATGGATCAAAATTCAAACTTCCCAGCCCATCACCAACATCTTCTCTCCATCAACCTTCAACCCTGCAACCACAGCCGCGAGCTACGGATCAGGTTCTACCATATCCCAGCCCCCAAAGCTAGGACTGAGCGAAATCAACCACAAGAATGTCCTCCTTCTCGTTCCCAACATCGAAACGAAACACCGCTTCAATCGACAAACTGGAACCCCGCTCCCGAACCCCGCCAAACCCGTCTGATGATTATATCACAGGGGCGGCAAGTAAGAAGGCATGAGTTAATAGATAGAGACACAGAGGAAGTAGCTCTCTCTATATATATATATATATAAGGAAGGAAAATAGTTACGTGAACGAGTAACACAATATCTAGCAACAAATTCCGTATGATCACGGTATGGCGCCGTTCGCTTTCCAGAGCTATCCGTAGCCGCTTTTTTCAAGCACCATGAACACACGCTCATGGTGTGGATCGAAGAAGCTCAGTCCAGGTGATATGGATTCGTTGCCAGATGTAGCCCCAGGACTCGTATTCTCACAGGACTATGTGGATCATATATGTAGCTTCTTCGTCCGTAATTCTGTTCCATTAATCCACCACTTCTCCATTCTGGCCTATTCACTATTAGGGGTGGCTATGTTTGTTTGGATATACTTGCGTCGTGCGTTGATAAAGTGGCATGGACGAATCTGGTAGTAATCCTTGAGCCTCTCATCTCTAATATGGAGGACGGATAGACGAGCTCGCCTTTGGAAGACTTAGCAGCCGCCTGAATCATTCGGAAGATCGCCGTCACGCAGCTCTTAATCGAATCCCGGCTCTGAGGTCAGTTATTCTAGAAACAAGTCTTATCGCAGCGCTCTACTAGGTGAGCCCATATCCAGCAAAGAGAGCAGCTGGGTTCGAAAACGCAGATACCACTCCGGCATGTTTGACCAAATGGGTGAACGTCCACCGAATCAACTGCGACTTAGAAGTCCAGGAACAGGCATCAGTGGGTCGATACACCGAAGGTGTAGAAGACTTCGCCACTATGCAAGCATGAGTACTGCGCAGGCTGGCTCGATTGCGTGGGAGCTCTGGAGCGTGGAGAAATGCTTCGCCAGGATCTCGTCGGTGCGGAGTTGTATCCTTACGGCTGGAATCTACTCATCACCGTCGTGATTGTGGAAGTGTGAGAGCCAAACCTAACCACACTGCTAGCTTAGGTCAGACGAGGTGGAGAACCTGCCCGAATGGCGGGTTCTTCTCGTGCTAGATAACGAGCGTCTCCAGCTTTGAGCTTTGACTGGCAAGGAATCGTCGAGGAGCGGATGGTAGATGGCTTGTGGTGACGATCCGGCTTAGATCGGAATAGTCGAGCCATTACTATCCAGTGCGGTGCGATCTGAGCATGCCGGTGCTTCGGAGGCATTCCGTGTCCTGCAGAGCGCCGGCCTAGGAACCCTACAGCAACTGAAGCTATTGCGCCAATAGGTAACAGATAAGTGCTTCGAGATGAGGCCCATCTAAGGGAATTATTCCTCCACTCCCTTACTGGAGAGTGAAGTACCGGCAGATGTCGAGCCCGGAGCCGAATGTGAAGAGCGTCAGGTGGTTCCCTCCTCCAAGCATCCCAACGCCGAACTTCGACCATGTCCTCAGTCTATAAGTCGTCCTCGGCGTTGCGAGGTTTTCTTTTTCACTCTCCGCGGAAGGCTCTCTCTAGGCTCAAGTGCAGGCTTCTTGACCTGGGGATTCGCCTCGAACGAACTGAACTCGTCATCCGCGACCGTCGTGTCCTCTTCGGTATCCTCGTCAAGCTCCTTCGAGGCGGCACGCTTGGTGAACCTGTACTGGACAGCGGCAGGGCTCGGCAAATCATCGTCGGCATCGGTATGGGCGGTAGCAGCGGCGGGAAGAGTATCGCGGGCCCTCTGAGCAGCCTCAGCTGAGGCGAGCACATCGGCAAGTTCCTGGTGGGTGATATCGATGGTGGGGTGCGTTGCCGTTGCGTCACTTCTCCGTCTGGGGCAGAAGTCGCACAGAGAGAAGGATATGGTCGAGGAGGCAGAGACGACGCCCGTCTTGTCGTGAAACTTGGTCCCCTCATGACTAGCAACAGCCACGCCAATGTCGACGGGATCACCGTTCGCATCGGCGCCTCTCTGAGTCTCGAAGCGACATACGTAGTACGTCGCCCAGCGCGGCGGCAGGCTCGTATCCCAGCGGGCTTGCGTATCGCGGTATTCAATGTCCACTCCCAGAAAAGTCCGGATCTTGCCTCTCGTGGCGAGCAGGTACTGCTCGGCAATTGCTGGGAATGCAGCCTTGCCGTCCTGCGAAACCGCTATCTCCGACACGAATGGAGGGCGGCCGCCGCGGGCGCCCTGGTGCAAAAAGGAGATGTCGGGTGCCCTTTGAATGATAGTGTCCTGCATGCCGAGACCTATGACAGGACTGCCGCCAGAGCTGATGGCGTCCAGCGACTTCCGTGCCCCGTCGGATGTGGCATTGTCCTGGCGCAAATCGGCTATCTTCCGCTGCAGCAGCGCTCTCAACCCTTCCACGAATGCTTCGTGGAGTGGGCTCGCCATTCGAAACACAAGATCCTCCGTGTATGAGTTGTATGACCAGCGAAGCTTGTCCCTCGCCCAGTTGCCGAGGCGCAGGTCACCAAAGATAGCATCCTGCAGCAAAGCGAACTGGTCTGGCGAGAGCCGAAAGCGCCGAATGCACTGCAGCTGCCGACGCCCGTTGTATAGGCTTCGTACGAATAGGAGGGCGTTGCGCGTCTTTGATTTGAACTTGCGTGGAGAGGAGGGCGCTGCGCTACGCGGGGGCGAGAGGGGAAGACGTGGTGTTGCCGGATTTGGCGGCGTGACGGTGCGGCGGGAGCTACGCGGTGGGGTTGTAGTCGTGGGCCTAGGAGCGGGACTCATTGAGATGGAGGGTAGCGGGTGTGGCATATCATCGTGCGTGGGTGATGGGGTTGACGTGAGGTTGGGTTTGAGTTCGCGCGGCGAGGCTGACTAATCGCCTAACCCTGCCACCATTGGAACACCAAGAATTCACCCGAGGTCATTCCGCGAACGCGCGCCCAGCCTCGTATTTTCAGGCACACCTCCCCACGTGCTCCCCTCGAAAGCCATTCTATCGCCGTTCCGTATTCAGAAACCCGCCAGCCGCTGACCGAGGTTCATCGCCATCATTCCGCCATTCCGTTCTCGCACCCACAGCCTCGACGCCGTTCTCGCACTCACGCCATTCCTCCAACCGCGCCATGCCTATCCCCCGCGACAAATCGTGCCCACCTCTAGTGTGTATTGAAGGAAAAGTTTTCTTTTTCTTTTTTTTGTGTGCAGCCCGGAGTTTGCTGCGTAAAGGTGGTGCGGCCGGTCACGCGACGTGCGACGGCCCCGCGTCGAAAGTTTGGTTTCGTGTAAGCGAGACGCGTCGCCCACACCACCCACCAGAAACCTCCACCCACCCAAAAAATGCCACCACGTCGTCAATTTGGCCATGCATTATCGCGAAATATAATTTGGATCGCAGATTACCGTCAGACGAACGTGCATGAATTATTGTGAAGTGTGACGCCAGTTGTGGTGCTGCAGAGTTGGCGGCGGGGTTTGACGTTGCCAAGACTCGCTTTTTGAAATGTAGTCACATCACGAACATGGCACAGTGAGGAAGACTCATGGAACTCGTGAATTATTGCGTAGAAACCCAGCCTATCAGGCGCACCGGCCCATGGTCGCAGTAAAATGAAACCCGTGAACGCCGATTCTATGCCCATATTTCCGGCCCCAGGCGGACGCAAATGCTGTTGGTAACGTAGGAAAATGGCGCAGCGTATCGCAAGGAAAATTAGAGGAACAGGCGCTGTCCAAGGGAGAAAGAGATACTGGGAGAGAACATGTCGTATCGGAATCGTCGTGGCTCGGCTCATATCTGGCCTTTGATGTCTGCTTTGTTGAAGGCGGCGGCGCGGAGGCTCTGCCCGTGATGATGGAGTGGCGTAAGGTTGGGGAGCGGGAGCTTTAGCGGCGGCGTCTCATCCTCTCCGCAGCCTTCTTCTCCGCAGCCGCCTTCCGCGCCTCCGCTATCTGCAGCCGACGCTTCTCGTGGAGCTTGAGCTCCACTTCGCCCCGACGAACCTCCGCCCGGGTGATCCTCTTATTCTCTGGCCTGGGCTTCTTCTTCTGCCAGGAGTTCAGCTTCTTCTTCGGCGGCGGGGGCGGGGGCGGCGGTGGCGTCGGCGCTCGTGCAGCGCGCCGGCGCGTTTCATGCCGCTGCAGCGGCGAGGATGGGCGGGGCGCGGATGGCGAGGACGGGAGGCGCGCTGAGGAGGGAAGCCGGATTCTTCCATCATCGGCTGGCGAGGAGGGGAGGCGGAATCCTCCATCATCATCACCATCATCATCATCGTCCTCCTGGACCTGCGGTAGCTCCTGCTGCTGCTCCTCCTGCTCCTCCTGCTGCTGCTGGAGGATAGCCAAGCAGTTTTGGTACCACTCCTCGAGCTCCTCGCGCCAGTCTCGCGGCGCAAAATGCGCCTCCCCAGTCTCACTCCCAATGTTTCGGCTCATTTTACGGAGTGCGGCTGCGAGGCGGAGCGGATGTAGTTGAGCAGGTCGTGTAAGGAGCGTCGGGTTGCCGCAGTGGGCGGCGGAGGGCTTCTCTTCTTTAACGTAGAGGTCTTCGGTGCTTGCGTAGAACGTGACGAGGTCGGCGGGGGAGGCAGCGGTGCGGACGGGGCGCACGTCGACGTTGAGGGTAAGGCGTGTCGTGGACTCGGTGGATTTTGTGGATTTTTTTGGGCGTGATGTTTCGGTGTCGGCGTAACACGGACCGAGCATTCCAGATGCAGCTAGCGCGGCTCGCGCCACACCCCACCTCACATCAAAGACTCCACGGTCGACCACGACAATATGCGGTTATGTCTGACCTCTCCAGGTACGCCGTGCAGTCCAATTTCGTCAGATGCTTGCTAACTCGTCCTCCCAATTTTATTTCAGCCGCACTCTGCCCATCCTTCATGATAGCCCCTCGATTCCTCCCTGGCCAGCCCCACCTCACCCCCACGAACCCGAACATCGCCTAAGGAAGCGCCGAATGTGGGGGCAGAAGGATGGTGCACACACTCGGGGACAAGGTGCGGATTCTACAGAGGCGCGGTCGGAGGATCGGGAGGTGGGATCCTTCGGCGGGCTGGGAGAGACATGAGAATGCGTGTATGTGGGCATTCAGATGCGTGATGAATGAAATCCTCAGGATTCAGATCTCTGAATATGCCGCAAAGTGTACACTGGTGCAGGAGCATGCACGGCAATCAGGAAGGGTTTCGTGGAAGAATGGCTTCAGATTCTCATATCGAACACCTCTGCGATAGTAAGGGGTGGCAGAAGTCCGGTTCCTTTGGGGGCCTTGCTACACAACCTTTCTCCCAGCATCGCAATGATCTACTCGTATTGGATGAAGATGGCGGAAGCACGATAACCTTGGGATGCGCTCTCGCAAACCCCATGCAGGCCTTCCTTTCCGCTCCAGGCGCCGTTCCCAGGGCATCTGACCACAAGCAACGACCCACGAACAACTGGGTTTGTGTCCTTCCAATTGCCAGCGTGGAGATCGAAATGTCCTCCATATGCTGAAAGCCTACGATCCCCGCTGATCTGATGGCGTTTCGGTTCGCGTCGTACGATCCAGCCGCAAGAGAGGCCAGAGGGTCCTTGGTTTAGGCATGTTGACACCTTTAAACTTTACTTCTCCTCCGTTCCCCTCTCCAAAGCTAAACCACCATCAATTGCCCGGCAATCCTAATCGAAACGTCCCTAATCGAACTACTCGTTGCCCATTATGCTAAAGTTCTAATAGAAGCCTTAACGTACTTTACAAGCGAACCCCCTACACAAGGGAATCTCCTAAAAATACTAAGCTCCTACTAAAAAGCCGCTATCTTAGTTAGATTACTCTAACTCTAAGCTACTTAAGATAAATCTAGATAAGCTATCTAACTTATTTATATTATCTTTAACTATCTAGCACGTTTATATATTATACTCTAGCTTACTATTATAAGCTATTCTTCTAGCTAAGACCGAGGCTTACTTTTATAAGAGAGTGCAAGAGGTATACTTTAGGTAGAAATTATTTAGTAATAAAAAGGTAGAGATAATATACTATAAATTATAAGTTATAATAATAATTTAATAAGTAAGTAATAACTATAAGAAGCTATAAAGAGTAAGCTTCTTTATTCTTAAATATACTCTATTTTCTAGAGTAGATTAGATAGATTAGACGCTAAGCGCTAGATTATACTCTAATTACTCTAATTACGTTATATAGTTCTAATCTATTCTATAATTCTACGTAATTTCTTATAACCTCTTATTACGTATTTAGACTTAGCTCTCTACTTTCTTTAGTTATTTACTTTACTAGCTCTATTATAATTTGTAATTATAATACTTACTTCTTCTCTCTAAGATTTTATTCTAAAACTATATTCTATATACTTCTCTTACCTACGCCTAGCTTTAGTAATACGTTTTTTTTCTAGGTATAAGAGTATAATAACTCTATCTTATTATAGACTTCTCTACTTCTTTCTTTCTCTAATACTACTATAGCGTGCTAAATCTTTAATAGTACGCTACTATTATTATATAAATCTAGTACTATTCTCTAGAGTAGATATATCTTTTAATCTCTATAAATCTTATTATTTCTATAACCTCTATTATATAGTTAAGCCTTTATTAAGTTATTACTCTAAGTATATCGCGAAGAGTTATTCTTATAATAAGGTATTAGACTAGAAGAAGCTAGAGAAGCTAGATTAGCTAGAGTTAGAGCTCTAATTCTAGTAGTCTAAGGCGAGTCTTAAGGTAGAACACTTACGCGTTTAAGAGATAGCCCTTCTTAAGTCTTGTAAAGTAGTTACTACCTATAAAAAACGCTTTTATAAGTAGCTATCTCTAGTCTAATATTATTATACTACTCTTTTATCTAAGAACCTAGCTAATATTAAGAAGTTAGAGTATTTTAAATAGAAGATCTAGCCTACTATACTATTATAACTCTCTAATTCTTCTACTAATTCTCTTTAGTTCTTTAACTAGAGTTATCTAGAAAATTCTAGTCTCTAGTCTCTAGGTATTAGTAGTAGTACTAGTAAAACTTCTTAAGTTTCTTAGAGTAGTTTCTAAGGTTTTCTAGAGGTTTCTAAGTATCTTCTTCTAGTAGATATTCTTTCTATTAGACTTAGTACTTCTACTAACCTTATATACGCTTTTTATCTAGTATTCTTTTAACTTTAAAGTTCTAGTCTAGCTCTACCTTAGTTTATTTATTAAGTAGTACGTTATTAGGTACTAGCTTAAGTTTAAATTTATAGAATATAGAGTGTATTTATATTATTAGTAGTAGTTTTAGCCTAAAGTTAATAGGTTTAAGTTATTTATTAATTTTAAAGAGCCTAATTTATAGGTAGTTAAGTTTCTTACTAGATTACTTAGTATATAAGTTTTTTTATAGAATAAAAACTTTACCTTTCTTCTTAAGAGTTAGTCTCTTAACTTATTTTTTATTTACTTACTAGGTTATTCTTTCTACTATTTTTTATAGCTTATTATAGATTATTCTTATCTAGTATTCTCTTTTCTCTACTTCTAGAAAAATTATAGCTATATATACTAGAGGTCTATATATTCTAGTCTTATAGCTATAGTAGGTCTAATAGAGAGTTATCTCTATTATTTTTTATTTTACTATATTATATACTAGTTATACTATAGATAGTAGTTTAACCTAGTTATTCTATTTCTAGTTAATATAGTTTCTTAGATATTCTTCTAGAATCTAGTTTATCTATTTTATCTAGATATTAGTCTATAGATAGAAGCTAGTTAATATTTAGTTACTTATCTCTATTTAGCTAAGTAACGTATTCTAGAATTTAGATATAAATAACTTATTTCTATTTATAGTAATCTATTCTAGTATTCTATATTAGCTAAATAGTTATTAGCTTACCTTATAGGCTAGTTCTTTAGCTTTAAGAGTTTTACTAGTTAGGTAGAAGTATATATACTTAGTAAATTAATCTATAATTACTAGAATAGTATTATATTTTCTTTATAACGTAGATTTAACTAACTAGAGTAGCTTAGTAATAAAGTCTATAGTAATATATTACTATAGTACTATAGATAGTTCTAAGAGTTATAGTAGCCTGTAGAGTTAATACCTAACTACTTTATTTTATTAGTATTCTACGTAACGTACTTTATAAGCGAGCTAGCTATATAAGTAAGTTAGCTATCTTCTCTTAGCAACGAAAATTAACGAAAATTAACTCGTTTTTCTTAAATAACTAAGTAAAACCTTAATATTTTTCTATAAGGATTTATATATATATTCTTTATAGTAAATTACACCTTATAGTAAAGTTGCACTAAGATATATTACGTAATTAAAAAGCTATACGTATTTAACTAACTTTTAAGAAAAAATCTAGTTTACTTCTAGTAAGTACTATTATATCTCTATAATAATATATAAAACTTATAGTATATAGTATTTATAACGTAATAAAGGTTTCTAGAAAACTTCTATAGCGCTAGCTCTTCTAGGTATAGCGTAATAAGAGATAGAAGTTAGAAAATTTTCTTTTTAGAGTTTTCTTCTCTAACTATATATATATATTAATAATCTAGCTATATAAAGTTATATATTATAAGATTATATATACTATAAGTCTTCTAAATATTTAGAAGTAATAATTTTAAGATAGTTTTAGTATCTTTCTATCTTTCTATACTATACTACTAAAAAGACTTTACTCTTAAATAACTACTTAAAGCTACTATATTATTAGTTAATAAGCTCTATATAGTTAAAACTAACTATAATATATAAAATAATAAGTTTATAGAGCTAGATTAACTATATATATATAGTTAGAAGAAGAAAGCTCTAAGAAGATATTTTTCTAACTTCTATCTCTTATTACGCTATACCTAGAAGAGCTAGCGCTATAGAAGTTTTCTAGAAACCTTTATTACGTTATAGATACTATATACTATAAGTTTTATAGATTATTATAGAGATATAATAGTACTTACTAGAAGTAAACTAGATTTTTTCTTAAAAGTTAGTTAAATACGTATAGCTTTTTAATTACGTAATATATCTTAGTGTAACTTTACTATAAGGTGTAATTTACTATAAAGAATATATATATAAATTCTTATAGAAAAATATTAAGGTTTTACTTAGTTATTTAAGAAAAACGAGTTAATTTTCGTTAATTTTCGTTGCTAAGAGAAGGTGGCTAACTCGCTTATATAGCTAGCTCGCTTATAAAGTACGTTATTCTTATCTTATTTTTATAACCTTTTTCTTTATTATAAAGAACCTATATTTCTATTATAGTCTTTTAAGAGTACGTTTAATTCTCTAGTACTTATACGTTATAGTACTATAAAATTTCTTAATAAATTCTATTTATAGTATTTCTAGTACCTTCTATTATTCTTATATATTAGATAGTTCTAACTTATTATTCTACTAGTTCTAAATTTCTATAATCTAGCTAATTTATAGCCTATTATATTCTAGAGTTCTATTAGGTTAAGTATAGAGTATAGTCTTATATTCTTTCTTTATAGTACTTACGTAGTTAGCTTTATAGCTAAGTATATCTACTACTCTATTTTTAGTACTTGTTTAGTATTAAATTATAAAGTCTAGCGTAGCTAGTATTTCTATCTAACTTATTATTAGTTTAGTATCTTTATTATTATAAACGCTATAAGGTTTTTATAGTCTAATACTACGTTTATAAGAGCTA